CCTGGCATCTGTCTCTCCTCTACCCTGTCCCTTGGTGCCTTCCCCTTTCTTCTCCTGACCTGCCCCCCTCCCCTCAGCACAAGCCCCTTCCCCTCCCTTTCCTTACCTTTGGCTTCTGCCTTCTGATTCTTGGGGCTGGAGTCAGAGCTGGCCCAAGCTACAGGCCAGCCAGGTCCTAGCCAGGAGCCTCCCGTGTCATGTTACGCCCGGGCGTCTCCCCACTCACCTGCAAATGGGGTGCACAGCAGCAGTAGCCAGCAGCGTGCGGAGGTACGGGGGAGCCAAGTCAAGCTGAGGGAGCCGACTTCTGGGTGCAGGGGCACGGGGCCCCCTTAGGCGCAGGGCCCGATTCGGCCAAATCGGCTTAAGGCCAGCCCTGGCCCCAAGCCTTGGTTTTAGGGCCAGTTTTGTTCAACATCTTTATTAATGACCTGAATGAGGGGATGGATTGCACCCTCAGCAAGTTTGCAGATGACACTAAGCTAGGGGAAAGAGGTAGATATGTTGGAGGGCTGGGATAGGGTCCAGAGGGACCTAGACAGATTGGAGCATTGGGTCAAAAGAAATCTGATGAGGTTCAACAAGGACAAGTGTAGAGTTCTGCTCTTGGGACGGAAGAATCCCAAGCATAGTTACAAGCTGGGGGCCAAATGGCTAAGTAGCAGTTTGGCAGAAAAGGACCTGGGGATTCCAGTGGATGAGAAGCTGGATATGAGTCAACATTGTGCCCTTGTAGCCAAGGTGGCAAATGGCATATTAGGTTGCATTAGGAGTAGCACTGCCAGAAGATCTAGAGAAGAGATTATTCCCCTTTATTTGGCACTGGTGAGACCGAATAAAGGGGAGTATTGTGTCCAGTTCTGGGCCCCCAACTACAGAAAGGAAGTGGACACATTAGAGAGGGTCCAGTGGAGGGCAACAAAAATGATGAGGCGGTTGGAGCACATGATGTATGAAGGATTTGGGTTTATTTAGTCTGCAGAAGCGAAGAGTGAGGGGGGATTTGATAGCAGCCTTCAACTTCCTGAAGGGAGGTTCCAAAGAGGAAGGAGAGAGGCTGTTCTCAGTAGTGATGGATGGCAGAACAAGGGAGCAATGGTCTCAAGTTACAGTGGAGGAGGTCTAGTTTGGATATTAGGGAAAACTATTTCACTAGGAGGGTGGGGAAATACTGGAATGAGTTACCTAGGAAGGTGGTGGAATCTCCATCCCTAGAGGTTTTTAAGTCTAAGCTTGACAAAGTGCTGGCTCGGTTGATTTAGTTGGGATTGGTCCTGCTTTGGGCAGGGGGCTGGCCTCAATGACCTCCTGAGGTCTCTTCCAGTCCTATGACTCTACGACTCTGCACTTCTGCCTGTTACTGGCCCCACACATGGTAATAGAAGCTTCTGAGAGAACACTGCCAGTGAGGTTCTGGATTTCAATCTCTTACCTAGCAGCTTAAATTTGGCCTCCAAGACCTCTCTCCTGTCCTTCCCTATGGCATTGGTACCTACATGTACCACGACCACTGGCTCTTCCCCAGCACAACACAGAAGTGTATCTAGATGTCTGGAGAGATCCACAACTCTTGCACCAAGCAGACAAGTCACCATGTAGTTCTCCTGGACAACACAAACCCAACTATCTATGTTTCTAATGACTGAATTCCAATTATTAATATCTGTCTCTTCCTAAGAACTGGAATTCCCTCCACCAGAGAAGTATCCTCCGTGCAAGAGAATACCACAACATCCTCTGGAAGTAGGTCCCAACTATGGGATCATTTCCCTCTGCCCCAGTTGGATGTTCTTCTTCCCTGAACCTTTCACAATCCTCAACAGCATAGAGACCGTCTGACCCGGGGTGGGAACTTTCTACTATGTCCCAGAAAGTCTCATCTATGTTAGAGATGTGAACGACTAGTCGACAATCCGATAAGCAAATGCTTATCAAATAGTCAAGTCGACTAATTGCTTCCCACTCCCTTGCTGCCTTTATCAGAAAGAGGCAGCCGAGGTGGAGGGGGAGAAGGGGTACTTCAAAGCGGTAGCACCACATACAGCCCAGAGCCAGCTGGGGTGTCCCCGGGCTGTATGTGGCGTTTCAAAGTGGCAGCACCACAGAGAGCCCAGAATCAGCTGAGGACTCCCCTGCTGACCTCAGGTTCTGTGCGGCATTGCCACTTTGAAACACCACATGGAGCCTAATGCTAGGCTCCCTACGGAATTTCAAAGCAGCAGCGCCACATGGAGCCCAGGGTCAGTGGGGGAGTCCCCAGCTGATCCAGGGCTGCACAAGGCGCTGCCGCTTTGAAATGCCGTGAGGAGCCTGATACTGGGCTCCCCTTGGCGTTTCAAAGTAGCAGCGCAGCATGGAGCAAAGGGTCAGCAGTGGAGTCCCCAGGTGACCCCAGGCTCCACAATGCATGACCACTTCAAAATGCCGGGGGGATCACAACGCCAGCCGAGGACTGTCCTGCTGGCCCGATGCTCCCTGCAGCACTTTCACCTTTGAAGTGTAGCAACAGCCCTACAAATTGCATCAACTATTCAATTAGTCAATTACTTGAAATGTAACATCTCTAATCTACATACCTCTCTGCCTCCTTTACTCCTCCAATTCAACCAAGCTCCTTGTACCAAATGAACACATATGCTACCTATCTATAGGGCAGGTAATCATACACGCTACATTGGGTGCAATGAACTGGATAGCCCCCCTTCTGCTGCTGGATTTCTGCCTGCATTCTCCTTTTACTTCCAGAGCTTATCCTTTCTTGATGTTTGTTTTTTTTAAATCATGCAGTTTCAAGAAGTTTAAAGAACGTTAAGTGTATCTAGCTCCCCTCAAACTCTGCTTCTTTTCTTTTGTTTCTTGTTTTTTTACTGGAGAACCTGACAATGCTTTTGGGACCATCTAATGATCCTTAGTTCATTTTTAATGACAAACCTTTTGGTATATTAATCACCCTGCCTCTGTTTATAAACAAACTCCCTGCTGCAAAGGCTGGGCTGCTCCCAGCTTCTGAATTCATCACAGTCACACTGTTTGTGTTGCAGTTAACATTTCATGGTGCTTGAGCACCTCAGGGCCATATAACTTGCCCCCTATGCACATGTACAAATCTAGCTGCAGAATAAGGTCCTAAAATCAGATACCGATCTGTACTGTGTGTGTTTACATACACTAGACACATTAGATAAATGAGAGTTTCTTTAAGCTTTTCATTTTGTGGACATTTTTATTTTCTCATAGATTTAATGCTTCAATCTGCCATTGCTTAGTTCTCAAAATAATTCATTCTATGGTGTTTTAGAATGGAGTCAGCTTCCTTCTTATCGCATAAGAATAACAATTTGAAACACTATATTAGGTTAAAAAGTTCAAACTTCTATGCAATATGTGATGTCTTTTTAGAAAAATAGTCAATATTCTATATTTTGTGGGTGAACATCTGAAGGATCTGTATACTCAAATGCAACACTTACATAATGCACTATTGTAGATTTTGGTATGGTATGATTTATTGACTTCATGGTTAATTGCTTGAGGACAAAATTGGTCCTCAAGTATATTTATCACGAATACTTTTCATAATGGCAATGTAGTTTAATATAATACTTTGCTCTGCTTTAGCACTTTCATTCTGAGTTCAAATTCATTTACAAACTTCAATTAAGCTTCACCATGCCTCAGTTCCTCCATCTTGTATTGCTGTCCATTTCCAATTTGTTAGCAGAGGACCATATACTACAAGATAGACTCAAAAAATCTTTTTGTTGTCCCCTGGTTGTATACAATTTACTGTTTTAGTTACTAAAGAGTCAGTGCCACATTTGGAAAGTCACCATAGCCAACTGCCTGGCAGAATTAAATATGACTTCAGAATTTAAATCAATTCATGAGTTTTATAATATCTAGTTCTTGAACAGGGACCTCAGTGGTGTTTGAGAGGCACACAGGGTAAGTCATTGCCAGATAAGATTGCACATAAAGGTAATCCTAAAAAACAACCAATAGTGTAGTAGCACCTTAAAAACTAATAAAACATGTAGATGGTATCATGAGCTTCCGTGGGCACAACCCACTTATTCAGATGACTGGAGTATTAAAAGTCCAGATCCAAGAATAAATAAGTGAAGGGGGGAGGAGGAAAAAAAAGGAGAAAAAAAGACAGTGAACAGATTGTTCAAATAGTTACAAGGTAACCCTAATGTAATCCATAATGCATTATGCTGTTACAATGAACTGAACTCTAGAGATACATTATGCGAGCAATCAGCCTGCTTACTGATCAGCACACAACCTGCTTCTGCCACAACCTCTGGTGCTATAATCTGTTCAGAGGCTCTACTCTTTCTTTGGATCAAGATATTAGAAACAGATATTGATTATAGCTAGAATAGCTAAGGTACTGAGGCTGTGGGAACTTGCAAATTGAGAATAATTTGCCTCCTTCACTGAGCTGACACTCAGGTATACAGCCAGCTGAATCAGATCCTGGATCAATAATTACAGAGGGCAGAATCCAGCTGTATCCTTCAGCTCCAACAGAAATCTAGAAGGAAGGAAAGACACAGGGGAATCTCTCAGGGTTTCAGTAGAAAGCCCATCCTCTGATGGGGTGTTTGCCCAACATGGAAAGTGGCTCACCAGACTTTGCATCACATCACCAACTAGGACAGAGTGCAATAATACCCACGGGAGCAACTGAACATGTCCATGCATTCAGCATTAGTACGCAGTTGATGACAAGACAAAAAACAGTTATAAAAGAAGTTATCTTAAGAGACTCAGTGTGTCAGGTTTGAAGAACAGCAGGTTACTATACTACAAAGTGAACAGGTGAGCAGCTCAGAGAGGAAAAAAAACATATGGTTCCTCTGGTTATAAACGTACATTTGGGAAATAAAAATTATTCTACTGCAGTAGGTGTTGAAACAATAAGAGAATTGGGGGGAAAGATGGCATTAGGATCATAAGGCCAATGGAATGGAATAGAATAAAGCTTTTCTTACCTGTAGTAGTTTTCCTTCTGCTGGAGTAACCTCAGCAACATTAGCAAAAACTCCTTCCAATGTGATTGGCTCCACTTTTAAGGGGATCACCCTAATGATAGCCTTTTGTGCTGCTGATCTCTCTGACTCCACTGCCGCTGCCAGTGCCAGCCCATGGCCAAGTCCGACCTGCAGTGTAGCCATTAGCAGCCAAGGCCAGAGGACAGCCAGCTGCAGCTGGGGGCTAGCACTCATGCTACCAGCTGCAGCAGTGACTTCGGCCACACATATCGCTCAGGAATGCGTCCTCACCCTAGCAGCAGGTTTCAACAGCAGATAGAGATGGTTAAGTTTAAAGCTCTTGTGTGTTTCCAGTCAGCAAGGAGATGGGAAGGGAGAGGTGCTCAAGTAACCTACAGCCCTTCCTCCTTGCACTCCTTATTTTGGGTTCTTCTTCTGTTTCTCACCAGAAGAATTTCTCTTTCTTGGAATCAAGTGCCCAGAGGCCTTAATAAAATTAAAACCAAAACACCAACAATCGAAATCAGGTGTTTTTCCTTTTCCTCCAATGGATAAATCCAAAAAGATCAACAGAGTCTGAAAACATGGGCATTAAAAAAAACTCCAGCCAGGACACATTACAAGATTATGCAGCACTTTAGTCCTGCCTGTGCTAATCACAGGGTGAGTCTTTGCCATGCAAGATGTGTCTCCACAGTTCTCAACCTTTAAGGATTACATTTCAGGATGATCAACAGATCGAACCCACCAATCTTAGATGCACTTGACCTTCTCTCCAGCTAGTTATCTTCTCCACATATCTCATTCCCAAAAGCATGAGCTCTTCCAAGTTAATGTTAATTACAAATATTAATGTCCTCCATCAACTCCACATAATAAAGAATAACGTTGGAGGAGAGCAGATATTCCCCTTCGATTATTTTAGCAGTATAAGTTCAGCACAAATATCAAATGTTTGCTTTTGAGTTGTCCTCCTCCAAATTTAATTCCTATTTTGCTAGAAATGTCTCGCTCACTTGGGTGCAGAATCAAGATTTATTCTCCTGTCTCGGCACAAGGATAGGAAATTACTAGTAAACTGTGTTTAGCGTCTATTTTAAAGCATGTTTCTTCTGATCTTCAGTTCACAAAATTCATTAGATGAACAAGTCTTCTCAACCTATTTTCAAATTCCTAGCAGGCAAAAAGGCCCCCAGAACATGTTGAAAGTTTAAGCACGGACTTAGAGCAAAAAGTTACAAACATGTCCTTGGGTTTTTGTATGCTATTCCTGTGCACGCTCAGGAATTGCTATAATTGCTTTGAAGAACATATTTAATACAATCGTAAACAAAAGCACCACAACATGAAAATTAAAAAATCGCTATGTGCTACCGAAATATCATATAAGAAATATTGAAGAGTCTTCATAATTGTACAGAAAGTAGAGAAATTTAGCAACTAAAATGACTCTCCTGAGAAGGGAAAAATGGATTTTTAAAGAAAGATCTGCAAACCCGTTGAGTAATCTGTCTGCAGGAATCTGCAGGATCTGCAATAGATGGAAATGTTTCTATAAATTCTGGAAAAAACAACTTCTAACAGCTTAATAAAAAAAAACTTGTTTTATATCTTACCAACCTGTTGCTTTGAAAAAAAAAAGTTCTCTCTCTCTCTCTCTCTCTCTCAAACACACACATGCACTCTCTCACACACACACAAAAGGCAGGTAGATACGAATGGAATTCCACAGACTGAAAGACAATCCAACAAGATCAAAGGGAGAAATTTACTCCCGGCTGAAAGCTCCTGGGCCAGGCATGGCTGAAAGTTAAGCGTGCAAATGCAGTCGAAAGAGCTTAGAATGAATCCAAAAGCATTTCTGAATACTCCATTCAAATAGAAGAGTCTCTCCTCTCCTTATAGCACATACAATGATCGAGTCTAAATGTGGGGAGCGAGAAAGAAAACAAAGTCTGGAAATATCAGCAGTAATCCAGCAGCAGACCTGGGCAGGCTGCTATCAGAGTAAAGTAGGCAACGAATACCAGAAGCAAGGGTTCTGAAGCTTGAGGTGGACTTGGAAAGTTATGTAGAGGTTGTGGAAGAGCTTTCTTTTCAGAAAAGCACTTCTGGATCAACTCCCTGGAGAAGGAAGCTTGTGGTTTGCAGTTTATGTTCCCCAGCTCTCTGCCTCCCTCCCTCTGGGACTGCAAGCTTTCTCTCTACCTGCTGACACAAAGTGAGGGTGGAGCCGCCATAGGCAACATCCCCACCCCCTTTAGTCTTGTTCGCAGAGCTCCTGGACTCCCTCTCCTGATCCACAGCTAAACTGCATTCAACAAAGTCCTTACTAACTGCTTAAACCACCACATGTATATCAGGGTCATTGACTGGTTCTTCAAACTGATATTAAAACAAACTCTGTGACCAACATAGCTAAGATAAAAGTAAAACATTAAAATGCAAATTCAGATCAATAAACAAAACAGGAATTTATCAGTGTGATGGCAGGCTCTTTCTCTGCCTTCCTGTGACACTCTGAATGGCATCAAGCCAGTATCTAAAGCAACTCCCCTCTGTAGAATGTACTGATTTATTGCAGCCTTATGTCTTCGGCCCTGGGAAGGACTCTGTCCATTTCACGCACAGCCTTTCTTCAGCTCTTGCTAATTTAGATTCAGTAGCCCTTTTCTAGTTGCTACTGCAAGAAGGTTTCAGGTCAGGCTGATGTCAGAGGTCTGGAATTCAACTGTTATTCTCCTCTAACATCACTGGGAGGTGAATAATACTATAGGTCAGACCTATAACCTCAAAGTAAGGTTGCAAGTAGAAGTTTGAAACTTGGCATGTGATGGATTTATGCTGGAGGATTCTCAGAAAGATATACAAAAAACCCTAGTATATACCATACAGAAAATATGTTATCCATTCAGCCTTGCATTAAGCTGGTTAGGAGAGAACCTCTATAAAACATGATGCTTATGAGAAAGGAATTGCACTCAAAAACATGACAGATTAATGAGGTTTGAGTACAAATGGAGCCAAATTCATCTCTGGTGAACTCCACAGAAGTCAATGGAATTACATATGGGGGAAATCTGGTAGATTACACTTTTAAGAAGCCTATGAGTATGACAATGATTTTGTAAGTTATAAAGTTGCTTTCAGGAACTATTAGTTGAAATATTTATTTTAAAATATCTGCATTTTAAAGTTTAACACACATATTGAGAATATAAATGCTATTTCCCTTTAACAATTTTAGTTGCAGATTATTGTATGTGCTGCTGTAATTTTACATCTCAGTGTAACCAATCCCACACTGTTCCCATTAACAAGAAAATGGTAAAATTACGTGCCCAGTTGGAGCAGTCACACTTTATTTACCAACTGAAATACATCTATGCTAAAAGTGACAAAATACTGAGATGTCCAGTCTGCTGAGTTTTGTGCACTACTCTACTGATTTCTTTAAGCAGTGAGTGTCCTTTCTCTGAGATTTAAGTAAGGATAAGGAGAGCTACAGCTGATAGTACTATGCATGTAAATATGGCAGGAGATCCAGCTCCATGGCCTTTTTTAATTCAAAAAGACAAATACTAGGATTTCGTAATTAATCATTAAAACAAGAGAATTTTAAACCATGCCATGGTTCCTTGACTCGTGTCTCCGAAAGAACATAATATCTTTTGGTGTAGACTGAACTGAGAAAGATAAGGCAGGAAGCTTCATTATTGAATATGTAACAGTCTGGCAATGCAGAATTCCCGAGATCCTTATAACTTCATACTCATTTCTCAGTCAGGGCAGCTGAACTAGAAAGGACTCCCTTCAAAGCCTGTCACCATTCCCTTAATGGAAGAAGTTTCTAGGGTAATGAGACTCTCCCCTATTCCAACAGCATTCTCTGCATTAGTCCTAAGCCCTGCCAGTCTGGGGGATGCAATCAACCAAACTCCGATTTCAGTGCTCCTGCTGTACTGCCAAACTCCTTTTCCCTTTAACTATTTGAATGCACTTTATTTTTTGCTATTAGGTTTCCACGTTTTAATTTGATTGAAGGGTCTGAGAAGATGTAACTCCCTAAAACAGTCAAAGCCTCTGAAAATTTACAATATGCATATGATGAAAGATGTAAAATGGCAGTTCTGAGGCAGATCAGTGTAATAGTGTTTCTGTTTAGTGTGCCAAGACCCAAGAGCATCCCCCAGCTTCCAACATTCTAGTTTGTAGCCTTGGTAGGGGTTTAAAAGATCTGATATTGGTTCATCCTATCAAACAGTTTGCTGTGAGGTACTGAACATAACATTAAGCTATAGAAAGATTTAGATGGCACAACTTGGGTTCTGACAAATAAGAGGCTTATTTTCTCTGCTTCTTCCTTGTGCATTTTCACAATTATATAGGACTGAGTCTCACTAACTGTAGAGATACATGAAAAGGCAGAAAATAATTAGTTACGTTTTTTTTAGTGCTGCCTCATTCACATGTACTGTCCTAACAACAAATATTGCACATACATCCTTTATCCTTCTGTCAATATTTCAACATTAATAAATACATAGCTGTTTAAAACCTTAACTCTACTGTCAATATAAATATAATTATATTAAACATGTTAAAAGTATCTTGTGAAGACCTACTTAAAATAAGCAATACAATAAACAAACAGATGACTTACCTTTATATCACTAGAATCAAATGAAATTATTAAAACAGAATAATGTTCCACTTATGTAAAAGATCCAGCGGCTGCTGTGTGTAGCAGGTGCTCATTGGTGGGACACATCTGCTGCTGAAAGTCTACAGCAGTGTGCTTGGAAGGAAGAGCATTTCCTGGTTAATCACTTAGAAAATTAGCTCATCTTTCCCAGAGATGCTCTCCTGGAATCCATGACCCACTCAGACCTGGAATATTGTGATCTCCCAATGCTTTTGTTCTGACACAATTCTCTTTAAAGGGCCAGTGTAACTCCAAGGAGATGCACTGTTAATACAAAACTGAGGCTATGACGACTACACTCCCCAACAAAGTGAGTTAGAAAGTTTCCAAATACAACACAAGAAAAGTTTGCTCCCCCATAAAGAAAGCCAATAGCAGAAGCTTTTAAACTCTCCTATTTACAGAGAGTCTCAGTCTTTTGGTTTCTAGGGAATTTTGGGCTGATAAACAATTACTGACTATTAAACACTCAGGCCGCTAGATGTTTTACAACATGTCTAAGTAGAAAATGTAACAAAAGAGATTCAGTAAACAATGGAGTGACTAGTTCCCCATAAAACTCACAACAAAAGCAAAAGGAAAGAGTTTTTTCAAACAGTTGAAATGTTCCAAAGTGCATATTGTGTGCCTCTGGGGTCTGATATGGAGAACCCAGTTGGCAATTACTGCACATTTTCACATGCCTGTCACCCACTTCTCACTCTCTTAATTCTTCTTTTGGAAAGTGCTCCTGTTTGCAAGCTACGTCCACCAGTAGATGGAGATCTAGGAGGAAAAAAGGAGCAGTTACACAATATACATGAATGCTTCTCATCTCACTGCATTCATTTAGGGCAAGGTTTGTATGTCTCTTCTCATCTACTTTCTGGCAGCTGGTATAAAAATGTAGCTACAGCCAGTCTAAACTTCAAGAGTTTGCAGGCCTTTGACTAGGAATGCCAAGAGCTCAGACTTTGTGCACCTGCACCTTTCTTAACAATGTTTATCATATACCTATCTACACTGAGATGAAACATTTCACAGCTGATTGTTAGTTTATTTGTGCTGCTACTTACCAAAACTCTGGCCTTTAGGCACCTACTGTTTTCTGCTCTCTCCTACAATCAGAAATGAACCATCCTGTATACAGGAAGCAGTTGGGAAAAGTATAAGCAGTGTTCAAAATCAACAACTTAACTGTCCCCAAATAAACCATCTTGTTAGTCTTTAAAGTCTTACATGACTGCTTTTTTTGTTTTACCAAGATCAGACTAACACAGCTACCTCTCTGTTACCTGTCCCCAAATGACATTAACTTAGGAAAAATATGGATTAATGTTCCTCTCTGAAATTTACATTTCTTAAATTGACTGAAGATGTTCTGCATTTATCCACAGGCTGGATTAGGGGATAGGCTCTGTAAATGAGTAGGGCCACATCATGTGATTACATATGGTTCTGGGCACTGCATTTCAAGAAAGACGTGGAGAAATTGGAGAGGGTCCAGAGAAGAGCAACAATAATGATTAAAGGTCTACAGAACATGACGTATGAAGGAAGGCTGAAAGAATTGGGTTTGTTTAGTTTAGAAAAGAGAAGATTGAGGGGGGACATGAGAGCAGTTTTCAGGTATCTAAAAGGGTGTCATGAGGAGGAGGGAGAAAAGGGAGAGTTACTCACCCTGTGCAGTAACGTCTATTCTTCGATATGTGTGTCCCTGTGGGTGCTCCACTCGAGGTTCTGGGTTCGTCCCGGTGCTGCAAACGGAGAATCTTCCTTAGCAGTAGCCCTGCCAGCCTGCACATGCGCTCCTGCTGCCTCGCGCCGTTTGCGCCATTACAGCTGAGCGCGGGCCGGCTTGTCAGTTTCCTCCCAACCGGAAGCATCTGCAAGATAAAACAGAAGCTCCAAAGCAGGGAGGAGGGTGGCTTGTGGAGCATCCACGGGGACACACATCTCGAAGAACAGACGTTACTGCACAGGGTAAGTAATTCTCTCTTCTTCGTTGAGTAGTGTCCCCGAGGGTGCTCCACTCAAAGTGAGTACACAGCAGTGGTCCAATGGTATCGGTGTGCTTCGGATTTTGGCCTCTGCTCTGTGGCCAAAACTGCTTGCGCCACTGCTGAATCGTTCTTCAATATTTTCGCGAGGGCATAGTGTCTGGCAAATGTAAGAGCCGATGACCAAGTTGCTGCACGGCATATGTCCTGCAAGGGCACACCTCTAAGGTAAGCAGTGGATGTGGCCATGCCTCTGGTGGAGTGAGTGCGAAGCCGTCCTGGTAAAGGTTTATGCCGTAGGGCATAACAATGTGTGATGCAAGAGGCGATTAAATTGGAAATACATTGTGCGGAGAACTGTTGGCCTTTCAAACGCTACGTAGGGCGTAGCAACGTGTGATACAAAAGGCGATTAAGTTGGAAATACATTGTGTGGAGAGCTGTTGGCCCTTTGAACGCTCAGCTGAAGCTATAAAAAGACGCCAAGACTTCCTGAAAGCACGTGTTCTATCCAGGTAGAAGGCCAGCGCTCGTCTGACATCGAGCGTATGTAGACGTGAGTCTTCTGGTGAAGAGTGAGGTTTTGGATAGAATGTTGGCAGGCTTATGGGCTCGTTTATATGGAAAGGAGAGTTCACCTTCGGGAGGAAGGGAGGATGGACACGAAGCAGTACCCCCTGCTCAGAAAATAATGTGTACGGTGAGTCAACAGACAGAGCTGCCAATTCACTAACTCGACGTGCTGAAGTGATTGCCAACAGGAATGACATCTTCATCATGAGCATGCACAAGTCACAAGTTGCTAATGGCTCAAAGGGGGGGGACAAGTTAGTGTGTCCAGTACTAAGGCCAAATCCCACGGCTCTGGTGGAATTGTGTAGGTCGGTTACAAATTCCTGAGCCCCTTCAGGAATCTTTTGGTGAGTGGATGAGCGAACAGCGAATGAACGTCGATGGGAAGACGGAAGGCCAAGATAGCTGCCAGGTGAACTTTCAGCAAAGCAATTGCCAACCCTCCCGTCTTTAGGTGGAGGATATAGTCCAGGACTTGCTGCACCAGTAAAGAGAGAGGGTCAAGATTCCTCTCCACACCCAAGATTGGAACCGATACTACTTATAGAGGTAGGTCTTGTGAGTGGTCTGGCATTTGCTATTATCAGCACGTCTCACTGCCTGAGAGCAGGTCATTTCTGGCAGTTGGAGCCAGTTAGGAGCCACACCATGAGGTGCATGCGAACGATGCCCGGATGCATCATCGTACCATCCTGTTGAGACAGCAAGTTGGACAGCAGTGGTAGTTGTTGTGGCTGAGCAACCGACGTTCTCAACAACTGCATCAGCCATGTCTGTCGGGGCCAAAAGGGTGCTATGAAAATCACTGTCGCGCCCTCCATCACTATCTTCTCCAGTGCCCTCGGAATGAGAGGAAGAGGAGGAAAAGCGTAGAGTAATTGGTGACGACTCCAGTTGAGTAGGAAAGCATCTCCCAAGGAGTTCATGCCGACGCCCGCCCGCAAACAGTAATGATGGCACTTTTTGTTGTGGTGAGAGGCAAATAGGGCTATACTCGGGAACCCCAAGAGATGGAAAAGATTGTGAACAACTTTGTTGTGCAACTCCCACTCATGGGGTATGTCTACACTACCCCGCTAGTTCGAACTAGCGGGGGTAATGTAGTCATCCGTAGTTGCAAATGAAGCCTGGGATTTGAATTTCCTGGGCTTCATTTGCATGAAGCTGGCCGGCGCCATTTTTAAATGCCGGCTAGCTCGAACCCCGTGCCGCGCGGCACGGAGTAGCTAGTTCGGATTAGGCTTCTAATCCGAACTATCTGTACTCCCTCATTCCACGAGTACAGCTCCTGAGTTGGCCTCAACTGGGATCCAAACTGGATGGAGAAGAGCTGAGCTAGAGTTTGGGTCAGCTCCCTCTAGGCTGAGTCCAGAGTAGTTGCAGAAGGCAGCCAGGAGTCACCTCTCCAGGGACCCTATTGGAAGAATGGGAACTGCAATAGGCCCAGGTGGGACCCACTTCTCCTTGGCCAAGGGCATAGAAACTGCCCCAAACTCAGCTCAGACCTCACCCCAAACTGAGGAGTACAGCCTAATCCGAACTAGCTACTCCGTGCCACGTGTAGCCGCGCGGCACGGGGTTCGAACTAGCCAGCATTTAAAAATGGCACCGGCCGGCTTCATGCAAATGAAGCCCGGGAAATTCAAATCCCGGGCTTCATTTGCAACTGCGGATGACAACATTACCCCCGCTAGTTCGAACTAGCGGGGTAGTGTAGACACACCTATGTTGGGGAAGGAAGTATCTGCTGAGGGCATTGGCGATGACATTGTCCTTGCCGGGAAGGTATGATGCGCTAAGGGTTATACCGTGCCAAATTGCCCAGTTCCGCAGTCGTATAGCCTCCGCGCAAAGAGGGCATGAGCGCGCACTGCCTTGCCTGTTGATATAGTTGTTGATATACACCGTGCATATATTGTCAGTGAGAATGCGAACCGTAAGACCTCGGATCATGTGGAGGAAGTGCCTGCAGGCACTGAATACAGCTCGCAACTCGAGGAAATTTATGTGCTGTAGAGATTCCTGGGGCATCCAGAGCCCCTGAATTTGACGTGCTTGCAGATGGGCACCCCAACCAATCAAGGAAGCATCTGTTGTAATATGCACAGAGGGCTTTTGCCTGTGGAAGGGGACCCCTGCTAGCAGATTTTTGGGGCTATCCCAACATATTAGCGAAGTCCTGACGTGCTTGGGAATAGACACCGTTTTGTTTGTGCTGTGTACACCTAGTGTGTAAACAGTGAAAAGCCAGTGCTGGAGACTGCGCAGGTGGAGTCTTGCGTGTGACACCACATATGTGGTGGCGACCATATGCATGAGCAGCTGCAGGCAGGTAAGTATGCGGGATCTGGGAGCAACTGACACAGTTTGAAGCAAATCTCGAATCAACTCGAATCTTGCTGTGGGTAAGTATACTCTTGTGCTCAGTGCATCAAGCCTTGCGCCGATAAATTCCAGTTCGTGACTTGGCCTCAGGGACGACTTGTCAAAGTTGATTCTGAGACCCAAAGCCTTGAATACCATCGTGGTAGTGGCAACTGCCCGGGTAGCTTCATCGAAGGTAGGGGCCTCTAATAAGCAGTCATCAAGATACGGGAAAATCGTGATATTGAGACGTTCAAGATAAGCAGCCACCACTACTAGGGTCTTGGAGAATACTCGTGGAGCTGCTGAGAGGCCGAAGGGTAACACGCGATATTGGTAATGTGCCCACTACAAAACGAAGGAAGTGCCTGTGGGCCGGATGGATCATTATATGGAAATAGGCGTCCTTCAAGTCGAGGGACACGAACCAATCCCTTTTCTCGAGAGCAGGGATAATAGAGTCCAGTGTAACCATCTTGAATTTCTGTTTCCGCAAGTGACGGCTGAGTCAACGCAGGTCCAGGATAGGTTTCCAACCCCCTGACTTCTTCTGGGTGAGGAAGTACCGAGAGTAAACCCTCTCCTCTGGAACTGAGCAGGTACCCTCTCCACTGCTCCCATTGTCAGTAGATGAGAAACCTCTTGCTGTAGAAGAGTCTCGTGAGGGGGTCCCTGAAAAAGGATGGGCAGTGTGGAGAAGCGGGGAGAGGATTGAGTTGAAAGGAATGGCATATCCTGAAGTGACTATGTCATTGACCCAACGGTCGGTGGAAATCAGAGACCAATGGTGTTGATAAGGTCTCAACTGATGATGGAATAAAGCTTGCGGATTGTGTGAAGCCTCTGTCA